CCCAGGATGTCCCCAGGACACCCCTGTGTCCCCTTCTCACCCTGAGCAAAGCTCAGCTCCCCAGTCCCCAGTCAGGCAGACTGGAACAAAGCCCCCCAGAGGCTTTGGGCTCTCTCAGAATTCCACCTTAAACACCTCCATGTGCCTGGCAGGGGGTTAGTCCAGCATGCAGGGGGCAGCAGCGTGGCCATACCAAAGCAGGTGCCGAGCTCTGATTCAGGGCCAGGGTTAGCCACTTACCAAGGACCCCCGCTTGTATTGACTATACCATGTGGAAGGCTGCTCTTTGGGCCAACGAGCCATTTTACTCTGTAAAATATGACAGGGGGTTAAAGGAAACAGCAAGCACCACGATGCTTCTTACCAGTTTACCGCGCTTGAATTCACTGAACCACGAGCCTGGGGTTTCCTTGGGCCAGGAAGTAATTCTAGCCTAGTTTGTGGACAGCAAGGAGGGAAGAGAGAAAGAAAAAAAAATATAATCAAAATTAAAAAGTTTACTTTCATTTCAGAGTCTGCATGTCTTATTGAAATTGTCCAACTTGCTTTAAAATGTTTTTTTTTTTTAATTTTATACATCAGTAATGAGAGCAGAAGGTGGCTCTGAAGCAGAGGAGATGGAGTGGTGCTGCTCTGGCACCAGCCTCCCTTGCTAAGGGCTGTCTCTGCCTCCTGGGAACTTGGGATGCAAATCCAGCAGTGGCAGGAAAATTAAAGGGAAAGACAGAGAGGGAAAAAGGAAGCATGGATGGGAGAAGGTGCATTGATCTTCGTGTGGAGGGCAGCGCAGGTGCTGGAGAAGCCTGGTGCCTCTCTAATGCCAAATCCAGGTGCTGTGGGGCTGGGAAAGGCAAAGGATGTGGTGAGGGAAAAGCTTCTGCCTGCCTGAGGTGCTGGACACACAGGATGGAGCTCCAGGTACCCACAGGGGTGATGTGGACAGGGAATCAGCCACCAGAGCATCCTCAATGCAGCCCCAGCTCAGCAGCAGAGCCAGAGCACAAGGCAGGAGCGTGGCTGCTCCCTCATTTGTGCTGGAAACCTCTCCTGAAGCAGCAGCCCAGCTGCAGTGAGTGGGGACTGCCCTGCCCTTTGCAGGATGGCACCTGCAGAGCAAATCCCAGAGTTTGTGCTGGGGGAGGATGGGCTGAGAGGAGCTGTCACAGACATTTTTATGAAAATCCTTTCCTTAGGATTTTTCCTCCTGAGAAGCTGGGAGGCCTCAAGAACAAAATGTAAACGTTGATTATCTGCTGCTGTGGAATGCAACGGGTGCATCTGTGATTGGTCTCATAGAGTTATTTCTAATTAATGGCCAATCACAGCCCAGCTGGCTCAGACAGAGAGCCCAAGCCACAAACCTTTGTTATCATTCTTTGCTATTCTATTCTTAGCTAGCCTTCTGATGAAACATTTTCTTCTATTCTTTTAGTATAGTTTTAATGTAATATATATCATAAAATAATAAATCAGCCTTCTGAACATGGAGTCAGATCTTCATCTCTTCCCTCATCCTCAGACCCCTGTGAAAACTGTCACAAGGAGCCTCAGCTGAAACTCTGCTGTGCCTCACCACAAACCCATCCAGGGTAGGGGTGGTGCCTCTTTGCATCCCTCTGGATGGGAGAATTTTCTTCTTATGCATCCCAGCATGAAATTTGTATTTGAGAAGTTCTGCAGCCCCACAGAGCCCCTCACTGAACCAGCACAGCAGGAGCTCAAGCTCCCTGCGAGATCATGGCCAGACTCTGCTTTTTGAGCTGTCAAATTTTGAGGAAAAGCACAGCTCAGTGATGCAAAGCAAGAGGAAATCCATCTCCTCTTTAAACAGCCCCAAGAAAAACTCAGGCAGGATTTATGTGGCGTGTGCTTTGTGCTGTGCTGACACACATTTCTGGTGGATGAAACGCAGCGGGAGAACAGCTCAGCTTTGTCACAGCTGGAGCACAACTGTGACACTGGCACAGCTCCCCCCAGGCTGAATTGTTGTGTTTCTGCTTGGCCAGTGCCACAGCTGGTCCCCAGGCAGCAGGAAGAGCAGCTCTGCAAAACAGAGTGCAGGGATACAGGACAAAAATGATGGGTATGGCTGAGCTAAGAGCATCATCACACAAATCACTTCATCAACCTCGTGCGGCGGTGCCAGGGAGAGCTCTGAGCCTGCCTGCAATCATTTAGGATCATTTACCCACAAGGAACAGCAGGAAAAATGACAGGAGGGAAACATTTATCTGCCCTGCCTGGAAACACAGGGAGGGGAGGGGAATCAGTGGTGCTTGGGCATGCAGGGCTGTGGGAGAGAATGAGTTAAACAGAGCTCCCAGTTCCTGCACCAACACACACCCCTGCCTTGGACAGCAAAGTCCAAAAAATTAAGGTTTTACCATTTATTATGGCATAATAAATTATACCATTTATTATTATTGCCTGGGAAACCATCAGAGGTTTGGCCCAAACCACAGTTTAAATCTTGATTTTCTCTTTGTCAACACATTCCATGTTATTGTAGAATGTAATGTTGTGTGACAAAAGAACATTCTGGATCTTTGATCCTTCCTTGCTGCTGTTCAATAGTCTGCCTATGAATAGTGATATCAGGAAATAATCTATCATAAGGGTAGAGGGGAAAGCAAAGGTGGTGAGGACTTACTCCTTCAGATTTCTTATCAGGGAAGATGCAGGTCTCTCCACCAGCTGTGAAATTACAGTAAACTTTGAAAGAGTCCCTGGAACACCCTTGGTTGGGATCAACCCAGTATTCACCTGCATGAGGGGAGAGAA